TTTCACTACACACAGACAACTACGGACATCAATTCGACTGGGACAACGTTCAAATATTAGACAAAGGAAATAACAAGAGTGCTAGAGAATTTTTAGAAGCTTGGCATTCCAGTGGATCATCAATCAATAGACACATCGAGATAGACAAAATTTATCAACCGATAAGAAAGAAACCGCACACACAAAGGGTCAAAGTTCAAGTCAAAGAAACAATCAGTTCCAATACAAGTAACCTAGAAGGTGTGAAAACACACACAAACAACCAATCACGTCCAAGGTCACCAGGAGGAATGATTAATAAACTCGTGGAGAAATCTAAAAGCTCACTTCAAATTGAAGTATGCGCTGAAGATGTCACCCAGTAAGGTGATGAAAGCTTCGCAAACTAACCATCCAGCTCAGAGAACAAAACCACATCAAAATCATCCACCTGAGCTACAAATCTTCTCTATCATATCTAAGTTTAAAGACTTAATCGACTGATACCATGAAAAGTCTGATAAAAATCGATATCTCTAGGAGTTCCAGCGTTTTATCTCCAGTATAAATTGGTGATAATATGGTCAGTAATATTGACGTTATTATTAATATTATTATTATTCCCTTGGGTTCCGAGTGGAACATACGCATCGACAACACATCTCCATTCACTTTGATCTATTTTCTGCTGTCCTCTTCAGTTGGCTAGCTCCACAATTGACCCGACTCTCTCATCTCTTCCTCATCACACGATCTCCTCCACATGTCACCCTCGCACTGATGAGCCACTCATCGTTGCCCATTTGGATTCCACTCGAACGATGGCCTGAATTGAACTCGGTGTCATTCGACAGCCTCCTTAATGCATACCCTATCCATCTCCATTTCCCCCTACATATATTTGTTGAGCAATCGGCTCTTGCTTGTTGGTTTGTTCTCATAGTTTCTTGCTGTTAATTCTTTCTGGTCATTTGATCTTCAGTATGGAGCCGCGGCAGCCAGCCAGCGACGGTGGCAGCTGTTAATAAAAGTCTGCAGTAGTCTGTTGGAAATCTTTTTCATGGCACCAGTGCAGTGCAAGTTTCTGATCCACATGTAAGAAGAACTGACTGATTTGACATATCTTGCTTTTTATGCTGAGTTAGTGGGAGCAGAAGATTTCCAAACTGATTTCAGACGGATGAAGGCGCGTGTATCTTGCCTTTCCGATTCTGGCTGGCTGGCTGGCTTTGACATCTTCATCCATTCCCCCTAGCCTGTAGTTGATCCACACGATGCTTCCCACCCAGACAAGTGAAGGAAGAAGGAAACCTCTGTTAAATCTCTCCCATTGAGATGGTGATTAATGCTGGTTATTGTTGTTGTTGTTGTAACTGTTGGTTGGTTGGTTTGTTATCTTCATCACCTCTGTCTTCTCAATCTTCACTTGGAGTCATGTCTTTGCCGCCAGCCAGTTTGTTGGTTTTCGCCTGTAAGTCTTCAAGTTTGTGTGACACCAAACATAAATCATCCCACCCAGTGACCAGTAAGGTATAGCAGGTTAGAGGTGGGGCAGTAACTCATCGAAGAAGTGGTCACGCTATATCATTAATTGGCAGAAGTTAGAATTCATGGACTGGCCATTGGATCGGATCCCAGTGGCTTAGTGGTCTACGAGCTAGTCCGCCTTGTAACCAGGTCTTGGGTTCGAACCGTGGTAGTGGGTGCGTACTGATGAAGAGTCCCAAAAAACCAGAACGAAACAGCTGTCCACTATTACCAGCTGGTTTTCCAATGGTTCTCAAACTAATGTCAGCTTATGATGAAATCCTCCAACGAATTGTCATACAAATGCCTATACAATAGAGTACTTTCAACAAGAAAAACCTGAAGATAACCAAGGTTGTCTGGTAAGAGACCGAATACTGTCGGTTTATTCTGATGTATAACTGAGAGCTTATAAAGGAATTCATAGCTTTTTTTATACCTTAAGTTTTCCAAGAGTTTAAGATTCACAGAACGTGAAACCAGCAGGTGTACTGTACAAATGTTCTCACAATTAGATCAGTAAAACACGTTATAGCAGATAACACCATCTCAGTTTCTAAATCTTTAGTCATCGACTTGAAGTGACGAGAAACAAATTGAGGCATACAACTCTTTTGTAATAATTTGATATATTAATCAACAACCCCATGACAACAAGTCAAGAAATTGGCAGGTATCATATACAACAATTTGCGATCTCCAACTCTAATCGGTTCACCAAATAGTGGTACTATGACCTAATGTCATAGGTGGTGAGTATGTATTCTAAAAAGTAACTTCACCTGTCACTAAGTAGTGCCTCCCAAACTGGCAGTCTTAAATCACAATAGCCTGGCCTAACTCATATCAGTTTTCAATAATGTTAGCCTTTCAAATCAACTAAATACTTGTAAAACAAGCAGCATAATGTTGATTTCTGATGAAGCCATCCAATTATTTGTTCCTTGGGATACGAGTGGAACATACAGTCCTCAACGGCCCTACTCTATTGCACTTTCTTATTTCTCATCATTATCAACTGGCTTTACAACTGCCCGCAAACTGTCACTACCTCTTCACATGGTGTTTTCTTCAGGTCAACTTCACACACCTAGCTCGTCGCTCCCCATTCGGGTTCCACTCGAGGACCTGCCTTTGAATGTCATTTAACTCAACGATCTCTCCAGTGCATTTTTTTCAAGTGTTGGTTTGCGGGAATGTGATTGGTTACCGCTTCGAATACTGGCTGACATCATTTAGAGGATCATCAGACCTAGTACTGTTTTTGGAATAAAGCAATTATTATTATTATTATATAACCAATCAAATCCTTGCAAGCGAACACTTTAAAACTAATCTGATGTCCACTAGCGACTGACGGCACACAGGAAGTTACCTGGAGTCCTAGTGAGGAGACGTGACCAGTGGGGTCTACCAAGTTAGCTAAGAGAGCAGTTACTCGCCCATAAAGTTGACTGGCGGTTGCGGAGTGATCGATCGCTTGGGAACATCTCCCAGTATGGCTAAATAAAGGTGTAGTGAAAACCATCAACAGTTTGATATTAGACCACTTAGTCCACACTGGCCAGCCACAAAGCCAGTATTGAAGAATCCTTCTCTATCATCTAACCGCCTCCAAAGCCTCAGGATGGTCGGGGATGAGTGCCTTGCGCTGCGGTTGGCTACCCCTCCGTACACCTCTTGAAATGCTCCCATATGACCGGGCGTCTTACATAGCCTCTCCTGAGGAAGTCCTACTCACTGCCTTCACGTGGCGGCGGTGTTTTTCACCGAAGTGAGAGGGCAAAAGTGGATGCCCGGCGCTCTTCACCGGGTTGACTGTCCATTGGATGACAGTCTAGGGGAGATGGCTAAACCCTGATTCCAAACCTCCAACGACTGGCGTATGAAGCTCACCGGAGTTCACCGGCAGACGTATGGACAAAGGGCTTATTGGATGCCCTGGATGACTGGCCCCATTCAAAAAGGCGTGTGAACTGGACTGCGGTCACCGGCTGGCTTCGAATGGATAGTGGACTCCCTACTCCACTCCTACTGCCTTGTAGGTCACACTTGGTTGTGTAAAGGCTAGAGCTGCACTCTCAAACAAAGGTCGAGCGATTCTGGGGACATCGCTCGTACCCAATTCCCATGAAACTTCATGGTTCATGAAGCCGGCTCATCCTCCCGTAGGAGATAACCGAAGTAAAGTAAAAAGTAAGTATCTAACCGGTACCAAATAAATTGCCAAAAACATCGAAGTACCGCATCCACCAAAGGCTATCACGATTCGCGTGAAACAACCAGTGCTATGTGTGCAGAAGAAGCAAGTCATGGTTGCGTTTGTCTGTCTGTCTGTCTGTTGTTTCCAACACAGAACTTTGCACAGATGTGCAACTGTTCGAGTCGCCACACTCCCCACATGTAGCACACAAATCAGAAGAAAGTAGAAGAAATGCAAAATAGAGACAGTAGACAGGGTATGAGGCAAAGGAAATAGTAATAAAGAAGAAAAATATAGTTTCATTGAATATTATAAGTCACAAGGAGTGGATGCATCTGCACCAGCCATTTACAACGATCATTTTGAGCCACATCACCGATTGTCTGCAGCAGTCATTGGTGTTTACCATCCCGAGGATCCCAACCAGTCAGGAAGTCTACACCTTCCTACGTGGCTTAAACTAACTGTTGTGGGCTGCATTGACTGATGAAAGCATGTTTTGGTTTGACCAACACTAGCTTTTTTTCAGTCTGACCTTATGTTAGCTAACATTACCTGTTTTCGAGGAAGGCGATGATTAGGCATACGTAACCCATGTCCTAAACATCTCAGTTGATGTAGCTTCACAGCCTCGTCGATTGATTTCCCTCCTTACCTAGGACTTGATGCCTAATATCAATATTGCTCACTCTATTATACCATTTCACACGGGAGATAGAACGCAGACACTTATGATCAAAGATAGCTAGCTGGCCTTTTCATGTCTTCCACTCTCAATGGCCAGGTCTCACAGCCAGTCAGCCATAAAGGAGGACGGAGCACACTGAAGAGCAGTACACCCGCCCTCTGGTCGATAGCTGGATATCACGTCTACGCCAGAGAGAGCGTAAACTGGAATACGTAAAACTAGCCCTCTAGATCAGTAATGAGATTTCTTCGGACATCAACCAGTTGGGGCAGATGATACTTCCAAAATAAGTGAAGCAGTCAACACGTTCTACCACTACACTCCCTATTTCTAAACTAGGAGTCAGTGTAGTCCAGTCCTGTAAGAGAGAGAGAGCAGTTACTTTCCTATAAAGGTGACTGGCGGTTGCGCTATATATGTGACGAAACGGCAGAAGTTGGGACTCATGGAATATCGGAGTAAGTCCCAGTAGCTGAATAGTGTACGATCTCGCCTTGTAACCGGAACTTCCAGGGTTCCAATAGCCCTATATATATATATATATATATATATATATATATATATGCATATATAATTACAAATTCAATTAATCGATAAACTTACATTACTTTTAGATAAAGGCACATATGATAGTAAATCAGCTACAGCAAACCAACGATCTTCTTGACGTCGACGTCTATTCACAATTGAATGTGTATCCAACATTAAATTGAGTGAATTCAATGAGGCACGTGAATAAAAAGATTCGCATAGTGTTTTATCCAATGAAGTGTAACATAATTTAATCGCTTTTTTAAGCGTTTCCATAGTGATTGTTTGTATATAACCAAAATCATAATTATCTATTTAAATTAGAGAACACAAAGAGGATAAATTATGAAAATGTAAGCCAAAAAAAAATAATTAGAAAGGAAAAAAATCGATTAAAGTTTGTTTAAAATTCATTTTTGATCTTTTCATTGATTGGTGTTTGAAATGATGGATACTTGGGTTCGAGTCTTAGTGGGAATATCACCATTCTCATTGTGGAATGCAAGTACATTCACAGTTGACGAGTCCTAAGTAGGACGAAGAAATGCACATCTTGCATTTCACTGCTAGTCAACATACATCTAACGAGTTCAAGATTGATTAAAAGTTTGCAGCAATGATAAGAGATGATATGTATGATATAAATTTGAGTTTTAAACAAAAAGCCATGTAGGATCTGGTAGAACGGATGGTTTACAGTCAACCACGAATGTGACCCGGATTCAATTGCTGGTTGAGGTGCAGCCCCTAAACCTCGAGTAGAGCTTATAAGCCGGTGGTAAACCCAATTAATTGAGTGGAAAGGTTATGTGTGAGGCAAGTAAATCCCACTATTCCGCGAAAACAACATGACTTATTTCACCATGCATTTATTCCCTTGATGAATTTGAATAAAACAAGAACAACAGTGGTGGTTTGTGCAGAATAATATGGTACCATCATTGTTTATTTCGTTGGCTTTTCATCAGTTGCTGCTTACAGCCTAAATAAATTTTGAGGTTTAAGTACAGAAAAGTTCCACAATTAGTAAACAGTGCTCAGAAAATTCCGCTTATATAGTTCTTACACAGGCAGTTCAAGTTTAAACAAATTACATGTATGCATATAATGGTAAAGGAGTTACGTAATAAAGATGAGATGTGCGTTAGATGCAGAGTGACTAATAATTTAGGTAACAATGTACTGAGTTGAACTCAAATCATAGAAACAAGAGACAAGCAAAATTACAGATTACAAAAGGAGGGTGAGGTTAAAGACAAAGATTACGTAATCAGATGAAATGGAGAATAAAGACATCCAGTTACCAGGCAGAACAAGGAGAGACTGATAACTGCTTCTATCTGAACACATAAATCTGGTTTCAAGCGTTTGATAGAAATTGCTTCGTCAAACTTGAGGAGAATGGAACTCCTTTGTTTATTGATAATTCTAAGGGATTTCTCGATTTCCACCTCATGACCCGTGTCGAGAGATGTCTGGTAATAGCGCTACTATAAGAGTTTGTTCCCTTCAGACGTAGACTTTTCGGTACATGTTCAGGCACACCTCAGATTATCTGAACATGTGCCGAAAAGGCTACGTCTCAAGGGAACAAACTTATATATATATATATATATATATATATATATAGTTTATTATAAGCTTCCAGACTGTAGATGTTACAAGTGTCCTGGATTAATTTGAGCACCGAGTTAGATTGAACCATTATAAATTATTTAAAATATACAGTTTATTATACAATTGGTGGATGGTGACTAGAAATGGAATCCAGGATGCGCATTTCGTCCTATCTGGGACTCGTCATCTGGATGTACCTGCATTTCTCACTGAGTGATGATGATGTTCTCACCGAGGCTCGAACCCAGTGCCCATAGTTTCAAACGCCAAAGCGTTATCCACTAGACAACTTGGGCCACGAGAGCCACCTCGGTGAGAACATCATCATCACTCAGTGAGAAATGCAGGTACATCCAGCCGACGAGTCCCGAATAGGACGAAATGTGTATCCTGGCTGGATTCCACTGCTAGCCACCATCCACCAATTGTATACTAATTAAATGCCCAGACATCGTCGAATCATCTGCACAAGAAGCCGACATGTCAACCTGAGACCGATCACTTCAGTCCAATCAATCGACGGGAAAATCAAAAGTTCAATTCAATATACAGTTTATATTCTTTTAAGCAATCACTGAGCCTGTGATTTCGATTTGCATCAAAAGGACATGAAATAAAATGTTCAAATGCATATACATAGTATTCTGTTGCTAAAGCAGTAGTATTGAACTGTGAGAATAGTATTCCATTGTGGGAAAAATATTCCATTGGAACACATTGTCTTCTGTATCACACCTCCCCACAAGTGGTCCTTCCCCGAAATGGTCTTACGCTTAATCCCTCCCAAATGTTGGTCAGGTGGTTGTTAATTTCACTTTCAGATGCAAGCAGGAGCGACTTACATGAACTAACTGGTTGGTATTCACACTGTCTCAGCATAATAGATGGCACAGAAGTTGAGACTAAATTGAATGTTAAGTGTCTTGGTCTGTCTGTTCCCTCTAATCTCTTTCCTGGTCTTCCCACATCATGTTAGTTAGTTAGTTTTCAGAAGGATGTTTCGTTGTTTAACGTTTTGTGAAAAGGAAGTTGAAACGATCTGGGTATTGTGGTGGTGGTAGTGGTGGTATGATACATACAACAATGTGTGCGCCAACTGGATGTTATTCTCACTCATTCCCACAGTGTTCAATTCGACATTACAGACAGAATTCCTTTCTCACAACAGTTCAATATTGCGTTAGCATTAGGATAATCTGTATTATTTGATCATTCTATTTCTTATCGTTTGACGTAAACCGAAATCACAAGCTCAGTGGATTGATTAACGAATATAAACAGTATAGATATGCATAAACAGCGATTTGATTAATGAAAAATAGATCTTGGCTCCAGTGTCTTGCCTTCTATTGTTATAGTATCTCATTCCGTCTATACTTTCTAAGTTTGTTGATTTTTCTATGAAATAAGAATAAAACTTGTGCACTGTGCCAGAGTGTAATTCAATCATGGGTAAAATTTTGTTTTGATAAAGTCTCACAGTGCTGTCATACAGTAATGTTTACTGATGACCACGTTTCGAGTACAATTTGTCGCTGCTCACAATCATATCAAGGTACTCCTCACACGACATCTTAACTTCATTTATATAGTTCCATTATTTTTCACTTGATTTGATTGGTAGTGGTATTTTCCGTATTTCGGGTATGAGGGATGAATCATTCCTATTGCATGTGTTGGGTGTAGATTCGATGAACAAGGATTCAGTAATCAACCTCTCTCTCTCCAGCTACCTAGATTACTTCTTAGAATTTTAACCCTCTCCCACCAAGCTATTGTGTGGTTGTGTGTTAATGCACGCAGTGCAATCGCTGAGCTTTTTTTTAAATTACTTATCTTCTCAGGGTCAACCATTCTTACCTTAGCTAAACTCTTATGTTCCGACAATCAGACTACTCCCGACCTTGTAGTTTGATCTATATATAGTTGACCTAACTGACAGTCATTGCAAGGTATTTTCTAAACTATGTTATTTTGTTTAACTAGGTTCACCGTGTCTTTTAGCCTACAGAGCTTGTCCTACCTGAGTGAGTTTGTAGGTTTGAATGCCACCCTAATTCCTGCTTTATTTAGAATCCTACGTAGGGTCTCAGATGTCCCCTCCTTATACGATATAAATGTAGACGACTTATATTGTCTTATTTATGTTATTATTACTAGTTTCACAACTATTTTTATTTTGCTTTTTGGCCTTTTTCGATCTTCCTAATGAATTTTAAAGGATAGTTATTTGACACCAACGCCTCTTCTATCGGTTTTATTTCATCATTTAGGTCTTTTCTTGTACTGCTTAGTGCTACTGCTCGGTTTTTTAAGCACTTAACTAAACCTGCCTTAACAGTTAACGGATGAGATGAATTATGGACAGCTGGGAAATCATGACTCTCAATACGTTTAATCCTACTCCAAAAATATGGTGGAGATATGTGGATGACACCTGCACAGTGTTAAAAACAGAACATATCTCTAAGCTGTCACTAATCTGAAACTAGGCAAAGCAGCGGGACCTGATGGAATGACTCCAGAGGTATTTAAGTACGGTGGAGACAGTTTACTGTCTGCATTAACTGAGGTACTAGACAGCGTCTGGGAATCAGAATAAGTCCCATCGGGTTGGTGTAAGTCACTGATTATCCCCATATACAAGAAGGGAGACAAGTCTTCCTGTGATAATCACAAAGGGATTAGCTTGACTAATATAGTATCTAAAGTCCTAATCTCAATAATATTGCGTAGACTAAGTGGTGCTCGGGAGGCACAAACACGAGAGAGCCAAGCAGGCTTTAGACCAGGAAGAGGGTGCATTGATCATATCTTCACCCTCCGACAGATTCTAGAACATAGGCATTCCTACCGGCGTCCAACAATCATTATATTCCTTGACCTAAAGGCGTCATTCGATTCTATCGACCGAGAGGTTCTCTGGAGATGCTTGGCTGTGAAAGGAATGCCGACAAAATACATTACACTGATCAAGGCACTCTACTTGTACTCATACAGCCAGGTGAGGGCTTACGGCGAGTTGTCACCTGACTGATGACCACTAGTGGTGTCCGTCAAGGATGCCCATTATCCTCATTTCTATTCAACTTCATCAAAGATGTACTAATGGACTTAACCCTAACTCACTTTAGAGACACGGGGATTGACTTGCAACCAGGGAATAATCTTGTTGACTTAGAATATGCAGACGACATAGTCGTTCTAGGTGAGGACGCTGACAAAATGCAGAGTCTTCTGAACATCTTGAGTTGCAATCTACGAATGTTAGGTATGCGATTCGTTCTAGCGTCAAATGTAAGATGATGTTACAGGACTGGACTACACCGACTCCTAGTTTAGAAATAGGGAGTGAAGTAGTTTTATTTTTATTTATTTATTTTTTGGTTACAGCTTGATTTTACACCGTATATGCCAGTTTACGCCGACTCTGGCTTAGTAGAGGAGACATTCGACTATCGACCAAAGGGCGGGTGTACTGCTCATCAGTCCACTCCGTCCTCCTTTATGGCTGGCTGTGAGACCTGGCCACTTAGAGTGAAAGACATGAAAAGACTAGCTGTCTTTGATCATAGGTGTCTGCGTTCTACCTCCCGTGTGAAGTGGCATAATAAGGTGAGCAATATTGAGGTTAGGCGTCGAGTTCTAGATAAACAGGGGAAATCAATCGACAAAGTTGTGAAATTACATCGACTGAGATAGTTAAGACTTGTGTTATGGATGCCTAGTCATCGCCTTCCTCGACGAGCAATGTTAGCGGATATAGGGTCAGGCTGGAAAACAGCTAGCGGAGGTCAAACAAAAACTTGGCCTCACCAGTCAATGAAATCTACAACAGTTAGTCTAAGCCACGTAGGAAGGTGCAGACTTCCTGACTGGTTGGGGTCCTTGGGACGGTAAAAATCAATGATTGGAAACAATTGGTGATATGGCTCAAAGTGGTCGTTCTCAATGGCTGGCTGGCCCAGATGCATCCACTCCTTGTGACTTATGATTTTCAATGAAACTGTTCTGTTCTTCGTTATTACTATTCCTTTGTCTCACACCTCTGCTTACTGTCTCTATTATGCATTTCTTCTACCTTCTTCTCTTGCTTTGTGTGCTACATGTGGGGAGTGTGGTGACTTGAACTACCGCACATCTGTGCAAAGTTCTATGTCGGAAACAGACAGACAGAGAGACAGACACATATTATTACCTTCATTATTCGTATCGCCAACTGCATAAACCTTATTATCGTTATTTTTGTTATCGTTATACTCATCGTGATTAGCAACGTTCAAAACATTTACCACATTATTATTATTGTTATTATTATTATTTAATCCACAAAATCAGCGTCATTAGTTAAAATTTTTATGCATAAATCTATGTAAAGTAGAGTAAAGCCTTAGGGAAGAAGAAGATCTAATTGAACATAACAATATTGTTCCCTTTGTATGTCTTCTTCTAATATTATTAAAAAGAATAGCTCAGTGGTAACGTCTCTGACTGCAGACGGCACTTTAGGTGACGCTGGTTCAAATCTCAGTCGGTGGGACATGAATTCCTTCAAGGTTGTAGATATGCCTTGCTGACTGACTGGTGAGTGTCAACTAGCCCGAAACCTAGGTGGTGTCCAAGGCTTTCTGTGGCCGATTGCCTCCAAACTATCTAATATTTAAAGATTATTATCATTAAGAGCCCGTAGAAAAACTGTACAAACCCAGTTGTAAAAACATCTTATTATAAGATTACAATTTAAAGGAATTGTAAACGCCATCGATTTTGTCAGCTATTTTTATAATTAGACGCACACAAATGCATGAAAATTACTCTACACCGATGCCTGCCTCTACAAAGTGTATCCCCCCCCCATACTACTATTAATTATACCCCATCCAATACCATGATTCAAACAAATTCACAAAATTTCATGCCGGATCGGCCGTGGCCCGGATCAACAACGACCGCGCTTCCTGCTGCCGTGTCACAGGGCAGGAGTGATAAGTATGCTACTGAGACACACCAAACAAAAGAGAACAAACAAAAACAGGCCGCGTGTGACCGGCCTCAAGCAGTTGTGCCCTGGGCTCTGCGGTCACGCAACCAACTTCCACGGTGTGGGCAGCCGGGAAGTAACAAACGCCCTCACAATCCGAAATGCACACATTAATTATTCTACAGACAGCTGTTTCATTACAAGCAGAGGCATAACAACACATACCACCCACCATTCACCACTTAAACAACTGTATAAAATTAAAGTTTGATATTTTTTAGAAAAGAAACCTTTTAGAAAACCAGATCATCTCATATATCTTGCTTTCACTATTTTATCTCTCCTTATTTACTTAGAAATGTGAACGGATCATCTGTGAAATTTTACTATGGTATTTTTCATTTCTTCTTTTCAATCATTTTTTTTTGTCAAAAACTGTAAATGACGTCATTCTAGGTAATGTGTGTGTGTGTGCGCAGGCGCGCGCGCGCATTTTCCGTAAAATAAAATTTTTAAATATACATACAGATGGAATAACATCACAAAAAAGGAAAGTAACGCAAATTGAATTTCAGTTAAAGAATCACTAAATAGCTGTTTTTCTTTTTTTTTGTCCTACTTTGCGACGACAACGACAACTATTTAATAGTGTGCACTCACCACACCCAACCCCCAGAGGTTCAACACAGCAGTCTAAGGTCATCAGTCCGTCTGTCTGTCTGCTTTCGACACAGAACTTTGCACAAATGTGCAGCAGTTCAAGTCGCCACACTCCCCACATGTAGCACACAAAGCAAGAGAAGAAGGTAGAAGAAATGCATAATAGAGACAGTAAACAGAGGTGTGAAACAAAGGAATAGTAATAACGAAGAACAATATAGTTTCATTGAAAATCATAAGTCACAAAGAGTGGATGCATCTGGGCCAGCCAGCCATTGAGAACGACCACTTTGAGCCATATCACCAATTGTTTCCAATCATTGATTTTTACCGTCCCGAGGACCCCAACCAGTCAGGAAGTCTACACCTTCCTACGTGGCTTAGACTAACTGTTGTAGATTTCATTGACTGGTGAGGCCAAGTTTTTGTTTGACCTCCGCTAGCTGTTTTCCAGCCTGACCCTATATCCGCTAACATTGCTCGTCGAGGAAGGCGATGACTAGGCATCCATAACACAAGTCTTAACTATCTCAGTCGATGTAATTTCACAACTTTGTCGATTGATTTCCCCTGTTTACCTAGAACTCGACGCCTAACCTCAATATTGCTCACCTTATTATGCCACTTCACACGGGAGGTAGAACGCAGACACCTATGATCAAAGACAGCTAATCTTTTCATGTCTTTCATTCTCAGTGGCCAGGTCTCACAGCCATAAAGGAGGACGGAGCGGACTGATGAGCAGTGCACCCGCATTTTGGTCGATAGTCGAATGTCTCCTCTACGCCAGAGTCGGCGTAAAGTGGCATATGCGAAACGAGCCCCATGTATTCGTAAAAAGATGAGGTTTCGTCAGAGATCAACCCGTTGCCACTGGCTGATGGTACTTCCCAAATCAGTGAGGCGGTCAACGTGCTCCACCACTTCACTCTCTATTTCTAAACTAGGAGTCAGTGTAGTCCAGTCCTGTAACATCACCTTGCATTTGGCGGGAGCGAATCGCATGCCAAACATTCGTAGATTACAGCTCAAGGTGTTCAGAAGACTCTGCATTTCGTAAGCGTCTTCGCCTGGAAGGACTATATCGTCTGCATATTCCAAGTCAACGAGATTATTCCCAGGTAGTATATATGTAATAATATTAAATACTATTCCGAACAAGAATGATCATACACAATGGAAACTTTCAACATTACGTATTCAGATGAAAGAGAGAGAGGTGAAAATATCCAGTTACCAGACAGAGCAAGGAGAGACCGATAATTGTTTCTTTCTGAACGCATAAATCAGTTTTCTGACGCTTGATGGAGATTGCAGCTTCAGCAAACTTGAGGAGAATTGAACTCTTTTGCCTATGGATAATTTTAAACGATATTGTGACGTCCACTTTATGACCTGTGTCACGGAGATGCCTGATGATGGAACTGTTTAAAGCATTTGTTCCTTTTAGACATAGGCTTTTTGGTACATGCTCCCACAGATACATTGGAAGAATAGAAAGAAGGGCATATCTACGATTTTCTGAGGAGAACAAATGTTTTCAATAGTATCATCACCAGACATCTCCATGACACAGGTCATGAGGTGGACGTCACAAGATAGCTCGTTCAAAATTATCCATAGGCAAAAGAGTTCAATTCTTGTCAAGTTTGCTGAAGCCATCTCCATGAAGCGCCTGAAACCTGATTTATGCGTTCAGAAAGAAAAAGTTATCAGTCTTTCTCTGGTCAGCCTGGTAACTGGATATTTTCACCTCTCTTTCATCTGATCATAGAATGTTGAAAGTTTCTATTGTGTATGATCATTAGTGTTCGGAATAGTGTTATATTATATATAATTACTGTATGCACATAATGACTGACTGATTTTTGTTTAAAAATGAACTGTCTGTGCAAGTATGTTAAAATTGTTTTTGTAGATATATTTAATAATGTTTTTGGCCTGTAAGCAGTTAATTGATGAGAAGCCAACGAGAGATCAACAATGGTGGTATCACTTTATTCTACAAAAACTGCTGTTGTTCTTGCTTTATACAAACTCATTAAGGGGAATAAATGTATGAAAACATGTTTAATATTACAAATGAATTTAGAACTTACCGGTATTCATAGATCGAATGACATCTATTAAACTTGTCCATACCTCATGAACGTAACTAAGGAATGAAAAACTCTCCTTTTCACTAGGAGAAAATAAATAAGTTTAAATTGGCAATTGACAAACAACTTACAGATTCAAGCATTGTTTTTGTGCTAATGATAAGATATAAGCAATAACATATTGTCGGGGAATTTGTTTAATCACATGACGACAACGTACAGTAACAGCTTCTGTTTGACTACTGGCTGGTGGTTTCGAATTATGTACAGACAATTTTGTTGCCATTGCAGCAACCACATTTTGAAGATCATCCATATATATATGATTGATCAGGTGTGTGTAAAAAGAAATTGAAAAATAGTGTAGTCCGGTGTTACGGGGGGAGTAGTTAGTCCGTTGATAATACTGTAGGGGAGTTTTCAATCAATAATTATGCTGTAAGGAAGAAAACAAGGCAAAAGTCATTATCAACAAGGCGATACAGAAACCAAACAATAATACTGTGGAGTGTGGTTCCAGTGGATATACCGCCTTAGATTTGCACACACACCAGGTGATATCATCAAAATGATTTTTAAACACTATGGAAGAAAAACCACTTTCCCTTATAAAATGCTGTATGATACAACAGAAAGGCATGGTAGGTAGTTGTGTGAGTGCTATCGGAGACGTGACAGATGAGATTTCCAGTCGTATCATGAAAGCTAGGGTGGCATACGTCAACTTGAGCCACCTCTAGCGCCATTGTGAAGTTAGCTTGGCTGTCAAAGATCGGGATTACAATGCTTTGGAGAACGCTGTCTTGCTCTACACCTGTGAAACCTGGCCTCTCTTAGCTAAGGATGTGCGGAGACACTGTACATTCGACCATTGCTGTCTACGTAAAACTGTTTGAGCTCGATGGCAGTGTTTTGTGAGTAATTTTGAGGTCAGGCAGTATGTGTGTGAACACAGTGGAGACCATCACTCATTGAATATCGTCTGGAAACACAAGGTTCAGTGGCTTTAGCATATGCTGGGAATATTATCTGAGAGGTTCCCGTACCGGTCTCCGGTCAGAAGCCCTGAGAAGAGATGGCAAAAGTAGAGAGGTGGTCAGCCCATGATGTGGTGTCGTGGAATGAAGGATATTTGTGTTAGGTTAGATAGCATCGATTGGTGCATCACACCTTCCTGGTTGGGGTCCAAGAGACATCTCGAATCGCTGACTCGAAACGTTATCGAATGTGCCTAAGAATCACAATTATCAATACAGAAAGTGCAGCAATTTTCTTCTTTCTTCCCTTTCTTACAGTAATTCAACGAATGCTGTTTGATCTTGTCAAATATAACTGCTTTCTCCCCAAATAAAATCATTTATTCATTCTTTACCTTATTTTTTTCTCATTTGTCGCTTTATTATTGGGTGGTGCATCTTCTTGGTGCAATTTTGTACCAGGTTTTGTGATTTGAATAAAAATAAATAAATAATCTATCTAGGACTCTACGCGTAAGCGCTGAAGTGCTCCTGGGTTGATAACGTATGAGTTCACATAAAAGTGCTGCTGTTCAAGCTATCACACTTCAAGTATAGCTCACAAAGCAAAAAATCTTGAACAAAAATGTGAGCGAAATATAATCAGGACATGAAGAATAATGAGAATATAACGCATCAGAGTAATCACAAAAAATGACTCAGAAATATCTGGAGACAAATCATCAATAGTCTCTAAACATTGGTTAGTAGAGTCTCGAAGACCCGAAAGGCAGCCTGCACCTCCCTAAGTTATTGGCTCATACCAACTGTCAAAACTCCATGAGTTGTTGCCACGTCTTGGTTTGGCCATCCCTAATCTAAGGTAAGGTAACATTGTTCGTCGAAGAAGGCGACAGTTAAGCATACGGGAAACGTGGCCCAGCCATCTCAATCGATGTAGCTTAGCAATTTAATTGACTGAGTTACCCTGCTTACCTAACACTCTCCGCCTAACTTCACTATTAATCACTATATCGTACCACTTAACACGAGAGATAGAACAGTCTTCAAATCCCCTACTATCAACAGCCATGCCTCATAACCACAAAAAAGGGACAGAGGAAACTGCCATGTGGTATATATTTCCTTTAATCGATAGTCGGATATTGTGCGTACGTCAGAGATGGTATAAATTAGCAAATAACACACGACCCTTTTCTATCCAAGCTGAGATTTCATTAACAATCAGTCTATTAAGGTTGATGCAACTTCCAAAATAAGTTAAGTGGTTAACACGCCCTACCACTGCACTCCCTATCTAGACCTGCAGCATGATTTTACATTTGAAAAGAGCGAACCACATACCAAACGTTCCAAGATTTCTGCTCAAATAGTTCGGAAGGCTGCCTGTATGCCAGCGTTATACATTTACTCCATCATTTATTATTGTTCTTGACTTGTTTAAGACTATATTTTGTCTGTACCGTTATCCTATCTCATTCCATTACTATTAGTATTATTTCTCAGCTTGCAATTCCTGACATTTTTAAGTCCCTTCTCCGATAAATAATTGTTTATTTAGGTGATGTAATCGAACCGTAATGCATTATCCTAATTTTAATCTATCATACTACCTTCCCCGTTATCTCAACACGACCGGAAAAACAATCACACCTGTCATTTCACATGATTGACTCAATGTACTTTATTTACCTATTATTCATATATTTCAATGAATTCCTACTATTATATATATGTATATACGTATATATATCGCTGAATGTATTCTGTCAAAATTTGATGAATTCATCAAATCTTCATTACGATGCGTTGTTTGTTTTAAATTCCCCAGCTAGCATTTTTTTCGGGCGCATTGCAGATTTTTTAGGGCAGGCTTACGGACACTGCCCCGGGTATGTTATGCGCCCTAAGTTTTTTGTCCCAAAGTCTGCAGTGCACCCGAAAATAATGCTAGCTGGGTTGTATCGAGAATTAAGTCTCCAGTTACTGAAAATCATTTCAAAACATATCGCATCACCAAAGGATATGATTTCGAGCTTGTCTCAAAGAAAACCCAGATTGGACTAAAATATGTGAATCTGAATCTAAGCTTAACATATTTTACTTTATGAAAATGATCAGATGTTAGTGAGCCAGTGACTGGGATTCCGGTCAAATAAAAATCGAACAAGTTTCATTAGGAATAGATTAGAGAGGACAGTTAAGCACTCAGTTTTTGGATTACCCAGCAATACCACCTTAATATGAAATCAATAGAATTTTCACGCCACGCATTTTCAGTAACCGTAAACAAAATACATTTGCAGTTGATCTTGTACGTTATAAAATAAAATGTTCAATTAGGTTAATAAATATGTATTCTCTTTCTCATGAGGAAACTCCTATTTCTCGCTAGTCAGAAGTCATGAAATGATTCAACTTACTCATGTTTTCAAATGTGCAACGAATACACACATAGATCTGATGATTTATAAATTAACAGGTTAGCATCTATTCACGACGACAATAAGACAAGTCACAAAATAGGCATAATTCCGGCAAGTACGAAATATTAACATAGTTCTATCCTTACTACTAGAAACAGTCATAATGTGAAACGCCAAACACATAATCCGTGGAATAATTTCTGAGAAAATGATTTATTTTATACAAAACAGTTCATATGTACGAAAAAATGTCCACATCCGGTAACATAGACAAGAAGAAACCTACGACTCCAAACAAAGTTGACGACCCCAAGGTCAACCGGATGTTTGGAAGACCGCCTACACTTAGTATCCGACATATAGAGATGAAAAATAAGAAATCTATACTCGTAGCTTAAATATTAAAAAACACGTCAAGCTTTTGAAATTCGGCAAATTTTTTTATTTTAGAGGTACTATATACGCACGCGCTTCGAATACGACGTGCATTTTCCTCTCTAACAGGAAATATCCACTTTTGTGAATTATTCGTTTGGGAAACCTGATCTTCCTATCCGGCGAATTTTATTCAACCATTTCTTCCTCACCGAGCCTGTATGTGGTACTCCCCGCTGTCTCGAACAACTGCCAAAGCTTCAGGTGCTACTTCTGTAGCAACATCCTCCTCACTCTTTCAAATATATAGGACGTGTTGGTCTGTTACGTGATTGTTGTGAAGCCGAATAACCCGAAAGTTACAGGTAAAGTCAAAAGCTCTTACTTATATACTTTATCCTTCTGTTCTGTGCTCTATATTGTCTTTTGCTGTCAGTCTATTGGACAAAATAACTCCACTGTCTCTTATTATTTAATCATCAGTATTAATTTAGGAGTAATATGACGATAGATTCTCACCCTAAGATAAGTAATGGGACACCATTCTCCGAAGTCACCAGGGCTTCAGCCAAATTAGGCAAACAGGTGAAAGTGATGGACCCTCGCATACCGGTCTTGAAGACCAAGGCAGATATTCCCTGCTCGTACAGATTGCCCATGTCGCCACAGTCCTACAGTGAAACTGTGCAAAGTCAGTCGAGTGGATGTGGCTCCATCCCTGTTAACACGACTAGGTTAACAGAGCTGAGTGGGAAAACTGCACTAAGTGAGAATTATATAACACCCATCTCCATAGTAGGCCATGAAACAAACAGGAAGGCCGAAAAGAAACGTTCACGACGTCGCAAGACGATAAAAACGTTCCCCAAGAAGGCAGACGATTGCAAGGTCTGCGATTCTGTTGTCGAACAAGCAGACTCTGCCTTTGAATGAAACTTTTGCAAGTGATGGGTACATTGTAGATGCGACACCGGGGTACCAAAAGTATATTATGATTTTATGCGTAAGAACCCATGCCCATGGTTCTGGTACATATGCCCAAGTTGCCGTCCTGATGCAGCCTCGTGTAGTTCCTTGAAAGCTAAAGATGGCGTAGAAGTATCAGGGGAAAACATGGAACGTTCTACTCCCACCAACTCGGAAAATAGCACAATTGCACTTAAAACGGGGATGCCAATATCCACACCGGTTAAACTTGCAATTCTTGCCATAACCGCTCCAGACACAGAGGCTGAAGCACCACGGGTATCTGTCGCTGGAAAATGACCCTTATAGTCTGCCAGTAATAGTGGCCATGGCACTGAGACACACAAAAATATCCAGCCGCACCAGACGAAAAAAGGTCTTAAAGGGGATCACAAATGTGCGAGAACCGAGCCTAAGTTCACGGTTAGTAGATCAAACTGTGTAATCCTCTTTAATGTACCAGACTGTAGTAGTAGTCTGCTGGAAAATAGGGCTCTGTTTGATCAGGAACAGTGGTCCAACCCGTGTAGCACACTGTGTCCGGACATCCGACCAGTAAAACTGTGCAGATT